CATTCATTATTAATTTTTAATAATATTTAAAACCGAAATTTTTACTTTTAATTAGTAAAATGGAGACAAATATTTATATTTTTAAGCAAATTTCATATTAAAAATTTAATTCTTAAATATTTTTATATAAATTATTTAATCTATTTAATACATTCATAACCATTGTTAAACAATATAAATGATTAAAAGTATACTTAGTTTTGTTTAACATTTAAAAAAATATATATTTAATTGTAATTAATAATGAATGTAAATATTTAAAGTATTAAATAATATTAGGAAAGAAATTTTCTTTCTTAAGTACTGTACTTTAACGATTAAATTTTCTACCTTAAACAATATTTAACGTATAAATTATCATTCTCAAGTGGTATTAGGATTAAAATTTTCCACCCTGAACAATATTAACGTATAAATTTTCATCCTTAAAAGGCATTAGGAATCAAAATGTTTTAGGATAAAAATTATTAATCTTAAGCAGCATCAAAATGAAATTTCTTTTTGGATTTTAACCGATTTTTAACTGATAAATTTTAATATTCCTTTATATATGTATTCAACATTCTCTTTCATCAGTATTAAAGATTAAATTTTCGATTTTAAACAACATTTAATATGCAAATTTTTTATGTTAAATAATACTTAATATGTAAATTTTCATTGTCTAGCAGCTTTTAAAGTTAATTTTCTGTCATAAATAATTTTTAAAATAAAAAAAATATATATATATATTATATTGCAGAAAAACGATTTATGTATTTCCAATAATATATTATTGAAATGTATGCATATTCAAAGGTGATTTTAAGTTTAGATGGAGTTCTGTTTAAAATGTAATCTTGCTCAGCTTGTTATTCATCAACTATCAGCATCCTCATTACTGCTGATGATTTACGAACGAATGTTTCTAACAAGGAATGCGAACGTTCCGGATTTATTTTCCGACTTTTCTCTCTCTACAGATATCGTACTTCATTCCAAAAATGTATCAACGTCTTACATCCCCCACTCTTATTTATTTTTATAAATAAGCTTATATACTGCCGATGTAATTATACAAGTGTAATAAAACAAACTGGAATGAGTTGTAATCTGTGTTTTGTTACACCTGTTCCTAGACATTATTGGCAGAATGCCTGCAAAACAAGTTGCTTTTGTGGTGACATCGATTCTCCAATTAGTTGAAGATTACAACAGAGAAAAGAGCAGAAATTTCTTCTTTTTTCCCCCTTTCTATTTATTATATCATAACGGATCAGAAGGATTTTTCTAAATGGGCATAAAGAGAGTTTGTTGGAACTTTAAAGGATCGAATGTCATTAATTTATTTTTATGTAATTATATAACAATTCTATTCAATTTAATCATCAAAAATAGCAAAAAATCACTAATAAAATCTCTCTTTCTATATATATACTATAATGGCATCCCATTAAGTTTATTTACTCTATGAAACTTTAATCTATATAAGCACAGTTTGAAGTTTAGCAAAGTCTTCAATGTGTTTTTTAGGTTTATTGAAGTAATCTATGACGATTATTTTGAAGAAATAAATGAAAATATGTATTTTTATACCACACTCAATAAAATTAATCTTTAAGTTTTGCTCTAATATAGTCATGTGTAGAAATACTAGAAATAAAATAATTAAGATTTCAATTTGTTAATATTGCTAAGTACATTATAATAAATTAAGATAATTTTCTCTTCGTTTAACAATTTTAAATTGAATCATACGATAGTGATTTGATGATTTGCATTCCGATTCACAAGAATTAATCCTAATAATAATCAGTAGAAAGTTTACATAAATTTTGTTTTGGTGAAGAGAAAATTCTTAAGCTAAACATTATAATTAATATAAAATCTCTTAAAATTATCTACTTTTGAGAAAAGTAATTTATTGAAGTTAGAATTCCATCTTACGTTGCAGTTATTTTATGTGTTGTAGGTGCATTCAATCAAGTGGACGTCGTCTAGGATGACATATGTGACGTTCTGATTAACGCATTCTCTTAAATTAAAAGATTTATACAGTGCCGAAGAAAGATTTCAGTTCATTGAACTCAACGACTCCTTGGTAAAAACCTAAATACCTTGGAGAAGAAAATATATTTTCTGTAAAAGAATAAAGTTTCGTTTACCTTGTAACGGAGCATAGATATTGAGGTAAAGACAATCTTCACTCTGATTGACGAGATAGGGTAGGAGACGGCGAAGATATAGAAGACGACCCGAAGGCATCCTGCGAAGAGCCTCTGTCTCATTGGTAATATCCGGAAGACGTTGGGGACAGACGGGACCGAACTGATCCGCATTTCTCACTCCTTTCCAATGAGCGGGTGTCACCGGTGGCATGAAACGTAAAGAACCCATTGGTGGAGTGGCATAGGGAACACCCAAAAATATTTCGACGGGCTTTAATTGCCGGTTAGGAAGGGTTGCAATGGAACCGCGCAGGGCACCATACTTAGTGGTCACCACACGGGAACTTAAATGTCTCGTAGCAACTGAGTCAACCAATATCCATAACAGTATTAAAAACACTAATGAAGTAGTGTCGTATATATTGACTTTCTTATTCATTCTTCACTCACCCACTCTCTAGTCAAGCCCAAAGCACCTAACACCATCTCCCCAATCGGCACAAATTCGGCTAAGGCGATACTTTTCCCCTTTCTAACTTGATTTAACTCGTATATACACTCCGGATAACAGAGATAGTTTTAGAAGCGAGATTTAAACACATCGATATATAATGATAAAAGCACTATGTCAACAGAAACAAACGTCTTGCAATGAAACAGTCGACGTACTACGAGTACGACTGAACATGTTCGACCTGACCAAGCTATTGTGCGCATGAGCATTACGCATTCGGTCTAGGACCACGTGGTGTCTGCCTAAAACCGTTCGATACGCCACAGGTCGAAGAAGAAGCTAAAGACAGCAAAGCTTACCAAGGAAATTGTTCTNTTTAATGTAAATTAATTAATATAAAAGCATTTAATATAAATTAATATTAAGTAACAAATCACTGTTATAGTTAACTAAAAAGAGAGCTATTTATAAGATAATTGGATAATTTTGTATGTTGTCTCATATTTAATGACCAATCATCGTAAGAGTCGAACGAGTCAGACGACGCTAATTGGCTAGCTTTATTTAAAAGAAAGTGAAACTCAACTCTGATTGGGTATTGCGTAAATAAACATTTTAAAAATATTTTTTGACTGATACAAAACATTTTATAGAATATTTTTGAAGAAATGAAACAGATTTTTGAAAAATTATATAAATGTTAAAAATCAAATATATATATATTTTTCTATGCAAACAAAAAATATAAGTTATATATATATATTTTTTTTTCTTTTTAAATTTCTACATTTTATCGTTTTCTGAAGTTTAGGTGTGTTTTGAATCGAGATTCCTTTATATTGTGTTTATATTGAATAGAAGTTCTGTTCAGAAACATGGGCATTGCGATAAACAAACCCTTGGGCGTTACCAATCAACAATAACTTAGGTATTTGTCATTCCATTTCGGTTTATCCATTGATTAATTGCATTCAATCTCAATCAAGAATAGGAACATGCAAATTTTGACTTCGGGGTATGCATTTTAAACATTTAATTGTTTTAAAGTTTATCATTTATAAATTTAAAATATTTCCTGTATTTTAGTAACAATATCGAAAAAATAAATCAGGTTTTTATAAAGATTTTTCCTTTCTTCAGATTGGAACAATTTTTGAAGAAACGTATTTTTGTTATCTAAGCTCGGTTTACCTCAATCGATTTAGGTCCATATAGTATTTATATCTCTATAACGGCATTTAAAAATCTTTAAAAGAGTATTAAAGATTTCTTTTAAATTAAATTTATATAATAAGCTTTAATTTAAACAATAAAAATTCCGTCCTGGAAAAATTGGCTTATGAATAACCTACTATTTTTTTAAAAATATTTTTACTATATTTTTAATTTAGAATATGTTTTTTTATTTATTAGGTTATTTCTTATTATCAGAATCTACTTTAAAAATATCAATAAGCTGATACTGTATATCGAATAATGTATTAAGACAGTAAAGTGGAAATGTGATCGTTAGTAGTTTGCCTTGAGGCACTTTGGCGATTTGAGAAATCAGTTGCATTGATGGAAGTAAAGAGTAAGTCTAACCATTGACAACGTGGCTAAAGTAGTAGATTAGGTGTCTGATAGCTTTTGAGAACTTCAAAGAAACAGAGAAAAGTGTTGTTTAAGTATCTTCAACGTCCCCTTCAAAAAGTCGGTAATGGACCTTTGAAATCCGTACCGAGATTGTGAACAGACTCCTTAAATAGGTAAAACAGCTTAATTATCTTAGTTTATATATACATTTCACTTATACCTTAATAAAAAAAAATCGAAAATATCACCCTATTATTAAAGTAATCATTTATTTTAAAATCTAATCATCCTACATAACGTTTACAAAATTCGAAAATTGAGGCGTTTACTTAATTAATTTCTAAAACTGTGTTATTATCACCCTTTTTTTTTAGCCGGTAAAGTTTTGGTATTGTATTAATAATCATCGTTTGTATAACTGATGAGGTTTGACATAAAAAAAAGATAATTGATATTTATAACCATAGTTATTTTACTTCAATAATAAGGTAATACAGTATTAATGATTCTTTTACAACTCACCAGTCAGGATCGAATTTTGGAGAACGAATAGAACATAGCGACACATGATATTGACATCTGTAAAAATAATAACTTGATAAATATATGGGCTTTTTTTATAACAGGACAAACATTCTATTCAATAGCTCTTCCGTAGCAGAATAAGGAAGATAAAAATTTCATCGTTCAACATATTTTCTGGAGTATTTTTAGAAAATTTTATTCAATATTTTGATGCATTTTAAAAATAATTACTCGCTTAAACTAATGAATTTCAAATATCAAAATAAACAACTAATTAAAATAAAAGTTCTGTTAAAAGAGTTTAATGTAAATTAATTAATATAAAAGCATTTAATATAAAATCAATATTAAACATAATAAACCTGAGTAGAAACGTTAGATTTTATTCTATTTTTGTACTATTATACAGAGTATTATATATTATAGAATATAACTTATAATAAATTATATAGATTTATATAAATTATACAGTACGTTCTATAGTAAATAGATTATTATCCAGCATATAATAAAGCCAACTGTACAAGAATATGTAGTGTAAATATTCATACTGGATTATATACATTCAAATTTTCAAGATTACATTAATAAATCCATAATCAGATTTAAATTTAAATAGATCTAACAGAAAGAGTAAAGAATAAATTCCTATTTTAATAACAATGTTTATATTAGATTATTGTATAAATTGTACTGTACATTTGACATTTAAGATTTGACAGGTAATACAATTTAAATGTTAAAATTAGCAAAATAAAATCAATAAAATTCACCTTTATACAAAGTTATATGACATATGTAAATTATATATAATTATAAATTATCGAATTTTATATATTTAACTATTTAAAGCATGTTAAATTTTATAAGAATATAGGAAATGTGGTAGATAATATTTTAGATTTTATTTTTTTATCGTCTTTCTGAATTTTTCTCTTTAAATTTTCAATTTTGAAGGCTTATAAATTATTATTGATATACCAACCGAATATGTGTGACGATAAACAACTACTATATTATTAAATTTATTCGAAAAATATAAATTTGATCGAATATAATTTTAATATGTATTTTGTTTTTTCTTATCGAATTTTAAGAACGAAGTAAATTTAAATGGAAAAGTATACGTGGAAATAAAATAGCAATAAAAAACTGCACTGAATCTCTAACTTTACTGGAAATGATTAAATAAAGAAAGCTAATAAACTGCTTCCATCTGCCAAATTGCACAATTTGAAAATTAAATATAAAATTGATTCGAAACGATCAAAACTAATAACTTCTTAAAAATGGTTGATTAAAATAGAGAAGTTTATTCTTAGCTTGGTATAAATTCGTAATTTTCCTTCGACAAAATTTACAGCATTTTTCAATCTTAATTTTGAACTACTTACTCAAAAGAGAAGATTAGCTTTGCCCTTTAACTCAGCCCACAGATAAAAGACTTTGACTGAAAAGGAATGAAATTCAATAAAAAGATATTTCCACCTGGAAATCTTACCTTCTATAATTCAATCGCTTTACTTGACTTTAATCGTTGTATTAAATATAACGATTAAAGTCAAAAGGAAGCTATAGAGTTATAAGATAATTTTTAACGGTGTCGATAAAATTATATAACATTCATATTTATTGTAGGCCTTTATAAGCAAAAGAAAATAGTTTCAAAACGATTTCAAAATAGGCTTTTAAGCTCCGTTTTATTATTGATAATCCTCCTACTTCATAGAGAACTTAATATTACATAAAATGGTTTTATTTTTTTATCAACCTAACGTATTTAATTAATGTATTCCTGAGTAAGATATGATGCATTAATCAATTTGATAAAGTTTAATTATAATCAACATATTCTATTTTTAGAATTAATCTAAGTAACTCTGTATTAAATATAAAAATTAAACCATTGTTTTCGATGAAAAAAAATGTAATTGTTATTATTTTATTTGTTATCCTTTAAATATTATTATTGTACTTTAATTAGTCATTCTTCCACCCCCTTCTTTAATCTCTACGTAGTAATTTGACTGCATAATTGAGATTAATTTAAAAAAAGTGATGATGTCTTCTAATTAAAAAAAACTTACTATTAATTGGCAAGATTTGCATAATTGCTTAATTTTAGATAACTTTTTCCCTTAATTATTTTTACCTTGTGATAATAAGCTTATACTAAATTTGAAACTGGCAATTTTAAGTTAGTTTATGGTAGGAAGGAAATTATAAATTCTGCTTTTAGAATATTCTAATTTTGTTATAGACTACCGTAATTCATTTCCCGTGTTGTTAAATGTATAAAATCTAAGCAAATGCTCTTTTGTATTGATTTAAGGATGCAAGGTTTGGGTCTCGACATAAGTATTGATTATCAGACGTCGAGTGATAATCATAATAATATATATCTTAAAAATACAGTGTCAAAGATGAAGTATACATTAGAGAATATAATGAATACTAAGCTTAATGTTACTTTTGAAACCTATCCTTTCGAGTCCCTGGTTGAACATTAAATTAAACGAATATTGATATTTTTCAGCACAATTAAATAGGCTAAGTATCAATACAATTTTTTTGAAACTTCTTTATGAGTAACTTTAGATGAATGAGATGTGCAGAAAATAATAGATTTTTCAGGAAATCATGTTAGTCGCAGAACCTTTTAAAAGAGTTAATCAAAGACGATTCACGTCTTCTTGTTAACTCTTTCGAAACTTTGACATGAATTGTTAATGAAATTTAAGACAAGAGATATTACATTTAATAGAAAGTTTTGGTGCATAGACTATTATAAATTTTCTTTTAAAAAATATAAGAAAAAATATAGAAAAATCATAATGCTTTTAGATCTTAATCTAAAAGCATCAGTCATGATTTTATATGAATAATACATCTTTCATGAATTTTTATGATCGTTTTTAATACCATCCTCAGTCGAAAAAAAAATTTTTTTTCGCTTCACTTCTATTTATAACATAATAATAACGTTATCACCGGGTTTAAAAATAAATTAAATACTTGTAGAATATATTTAAATTAAATTAAATGATTAGGAGAGAAAGATACAAAATTAAAATTTATGAAACAAGAGCTGGCCCAGTAGCGCTATTGATGAAAAGGATATGTAGGCTAAGAATAGTGCATGGAG